CATTTTCTGCACTTCTTTAAATGTTTTCCCCTCTCCAATCAACTTTTTAATCAAGGTACGCTGTTCTTCTGAACAATGTCTGGAACGACCCATTTTCCTCAGAATTTCAGAGAGAAATGCACTGTAACCAGCATGTACAACATTTGCTGCCCTCCTTCCTTAATTAAGGGCAATAATTGCCACCTGTTTTTCAAAGAATGAATGACCTCACTAATAGAACTCCACACAGCTATTATTTTGAACATGCCCCTTTCAATTAGTGATTCAATGACACAGAATCAGCAGCATGCATGTCATGACTGTTGGGTCTGTTGGATTTCTATTACTCTACTACACCTGATAGTAAATTATTTGCCATGTAGAAATATCATTTCTACCAAAAACAGTGATTGATCAGGTTAGTGATGTCTGCCTGCTATTTGTTTTCAACACAACTGTATATACTGTATGTGGAAATGCGTTTTTTTATATATTTTTATATATATTACAAAATATATGAAAACATTTTAAAAAAAATATATATTTTTGAAATATATTCTTCAGATTTTTTATAACTTTAAAATGTCATTTTAATATATATATTTTTACATATATTTGTAAATGCATTCCAAAAATGTAGATTAAATGGAATTTTAAAGACACACTGCATATTTGAAAATGTTTTTTAATATATATAAAAAATGCATATCAACATACAGTATATATATATATATATATATACAGTATATATAACAGCCACAATTGTAGTATTTCAAATATATGTCAATATATTTGGGAGAATGTATTTTTAAATTATATTTAAAATTATTCTTCCATGTGGGAAAGCTTTCTGTGTGGCCACGATAATGTTAGTCCAACGATTGGCAACCGTGTGACAATTCTGAAAGCTTTGAGCAGCTATTTGCTATCCTTAGTTGACATTGTTTCTAGTTTACAGTTGCAAGAAAAAGTATGTGAACCCCTTGGGATTACGTGGAGTTTTGCATGAATTGGGCATAAAATGTGCTCTGAACATCATCTAAGTCACAACAATAGAAGAACACAGTCCTGCTGAACATAATACTACACAAACATTAGATGTTGCCATGGTTTAATTGCACATAACATGTAAACATTCACAGTGCAGGGAGGAAAAAGTATGTGAGGCCCTAGCTTAATGACTTCTCCCAGAGATAATTGGAGCCAGGAGTGAGCCAACCTTGACTCCAATCAGTGTGATGATATTGGATGTGTTGCTGACAGCTGTTGCCCTTAAAAAACACACACCTGTTTTGGGTTTACTGGTTTCAAGAAGCACTGTCTGATGTGAACCATGCCTCGCAGAAAAGAGCTCTCAGAAGACCTACAGTCAAGCATTGTTGACTTGCATGAAGCTGGAAAGGGTTACAAAAGTATCTCCAAAAGCCTTGATGTTCATGGTCCACGGTAAGACAGACTGTCTACAAATGGAGAAAGTTTAGCACTGTTGCTACTCTCCCTAGGCGTGTGGTCGTCCTGTAAAAATGACTGCAAGAGCACAGCGCAGAATGCTGCATGAGGTAAAGAAGAATCCCAGAGTGTCAGCTAAAGACCTACAGAAAATCTCTGGCACATGCTAACATTTTTGTTGACACATCTACAATAAGGAAAACATTAAACAAGAATGGAGTACATGGGAGGACACCACGGAGGAAGCCATTGCTGTCCAAAAAGAATATTTGCAGCACGTTTGAAGTTTGCAAAAGAGCACCTGGATGTTCCACAGCACTACTGGCAGAATATACTGTGGACAGATGAAACCAAGATTGAGTTGTTTGGGAAGAACACACAACACTATGTGTGGAGAAAAAAAGGCACAGCACACCAACATCAAAACCTCATCCCCACTGTGAAACATGGCGGAGGGAACATCATGGTTTGGGGCTGCTTTGCTGCCTCAGGGCCTGGACGGATTGTTGTCATTGATGGGAAAATTAATTCCAGAGTTTATCAAGACATTTTGCAGGAAAACGTACGACCATCTGTCTGCCAACTGAAGCTCCGCAGAGGATGGGGTGATGCAACAGGACAATGACCCAAAGCATACAAGTAATTCAACAAAACAATGGCTGCAACAGCACAGAATACGCCTTCTGGAGTGGCCCAGTCAGAGTCTTGACCTCAACCCCATTGAAATGCTGTGGCATGACCTTAAGAGAGCGATTCACACCAGACATCCCAAGAATATTGCTACACTGAAACAGTTTTTGTGAAGAGGAGTGGTCCAAAATGACTCCAGATCGTTGTGCAGGTCTGATCTGCGACTACAGGAAACGTTTGGTTGAGGTTATTGCTGCCAAAGGAGGGTCAACCAGTTATTAAGTCCAAAGGTTCACATACTTTTTCCTCCCTGCACTGTGAATGTTTACATGTTATGTGCAATTAAACCATGGCAACATCTAATGTTTGTGTAGTATTATGTTCAGCAGACTGTGTTCTTTATTGTTGTGACTTAGATGACGTTCAGATAATGCCCAATTCATGCAAAACTCCACGTAATCCCAAGGGGTTCACATACTTTTTCTTGCAACTGTATGAGCAAAAAGTCTATTAACCACCTCAACATGGGGCACTTTTACGCCCTTCCTGCTCTGGCCAATTTTCAATTTCAATCAAATGACAATTGAGCAGTCATGCAGTACTGTACCCAAATTAAATTTTTATAATTTTTTTTGCACAAATAAATATTTATTTTGGTGGTATTTAATCAACACTGTTTTTTATTTTTTTTTGCTTTAAATGAAAAAAAGACTGAAAATGTTGAAAGACTTTACCTTAGCCGTGTGTGGGGAACTGGTGTCAAGCACATTTGCAAAATTCAAGTATCCTACGTCCACAGCAACTCCTTTGTCTAATGCAGGCCATAGATGGGTCAAAAATCGGCCGACTTTTTGGCCGAAAATAAAATCGGCCGATTTTCGGATCATTAGTGGGCTAATTGTTCGGCCGAATTTTCGGTATTTTGGCAGATTTTTTTTTTTATCGGTAAAGTTGGAAAAAAAAAATCGACCGATTTTCGCTCGCGGCAATGATGGGCAAATCGGCCGATCTTTTTACCGAAAAAAAATCTGCGCATGAGCAGTGAACTGCAAGAGGAAGACAAAAAGAAGGTGAGGAAAAAGAAGAGGATGAAGAAGAAGAGGATGATGAAGAAGAAGAGGATGATGAAGAAGAAGAGGATGATGAAGAAGAGGAAGAAGAAGAGGATGAAGAAGAAGAAGAAGATGAAAGAGGATGAAGAAGATGAAGAAGAGGATGAAGAAGAGGATGTAGAGGATGAAGAAGATGAAGAAGAGGATGAAGAAGAAGAGGAAGAAGAAGAAGAGGATGAAGAAGAAGGAAAGGATTAAGAAGAAGAAGAAGAAGAGGATGAAGATGAAGAGGATGAAGAAGAAGAAGAAGAGGATGAAGATGTAGAAGAAGCAGAAGAAGAAGAGGATGAAGAAGAAGATGAGGATGAAGAGGATGAAGAAGAAGATGAAGTAGAAGTAGCAGAAGAAGCAGAAGAAGCAGAAGAAGCAGAAGAAGAAGAGGATGAAGAGAGGAAGATGAGGAAGAAGAGGATGAAGAAGAAGAAGAGGATGAAGAAGAAGAAGAGGATGAAGAAGAAGAAGAGGATGAAGAAGAAGAGGAATTCCAGCCCGGCAAAAAATGTCCCTGCAGAGAGCTCCGCTATTTCTTTGACAGTTCCTTGACATTTATAGCGGTTGCAACAATGTATCTATTTGTTTCCAAAATAAAAACATCTGTATCCTAAATGGATACAAATACATTGTTGCAACCGCTATATATGTCAAGGAACTGTCAAAGAAATAGCGGAGCTCTCTGCAGGGACACTTTTTGCTGGTTGTAAATGGGATGAAAATCGGCCGATTTTTTTTTTTTACCGTTGCTGGCAACGTTGGCCGCTTGAACGACCGATTTTTCATTTTTTTTAAAGAACAATCGGCCGATTTTCGACCCCATCTATGGCCTGCATAAGCTTTTGCTCACCTCTTCATGGAAAGGAGATTTGTGTGACACCTTCTGTCTTTCATGAATTGATGCTATCTATTGCTGAAAATATTTTTTATAGCAAATTCTCATCTATGTGTTTTTTATTAAACTCTCCAGTATCTTCCCAACGATAGAAGTAAAACTAACAGGTTTGTAATTACTTGGTAAAGACTTTGATCCCTTTTTAAATATATCCATTTTATTTTTTTTGCTTTAAACGAAAAAAAAAAAAGACTGAAAATTTTGAAAAAAAAAAAAAAAAAAAACCTTTTTCTTAGTTACTGTTATAAAATTTTGCAAATAAATAATCTTTCTACAAAAGGTTACGCCAAAATGTATTCTGCTACATTTCTTTGGTGAAAATAACCCAAATCAATGTTTATTATTTAGTCTGTAGGAAAGGTATAAAGTCCACAAACTATGGTATATATCTGAAAACTGATCAATCTTGCTGTACTGACGACCAATCTCATTTCTTGATGCCCAAAAATGCCAGGACAGAACAAATGCACCCCGAAATTACTTTCATTATATAAATGGGTGGTGGTGATCAGGGACGTTGACTGGTGACATTATATATAAAAATATAAACAAATAATAATTTTAAAAAAAATGGTTTAAAAACAAAAAATGTTTAATTACTTTTTTATGACTTTTTTTTTTTATCATAGTAATATTGGACTACTCTGGGCAAGTGATAAGGGTTTTTTTTATACATTATGATTGCTTTTCACTGGTATTAAACAACTATTTTTTACTGAATTAAATTTTTGAAAAATGAACAGAGTGTTAAGATAATAATACTGTTCTTATGTATGGCACTGTCCCTTGGACACAGCGGATCACCAATCACGGAAAGAGCCGAAGATGTCAGCACGGTCATGTGATCAGCTGACAACTTGTGAGTAGAGGAGAGCCGGTAATTGGCTTTCCGAGGAGGGGACATGTACACTGATCATCAGGGCACTGATGATCAGTGTGCCCTAAGGATCAGTGTAGCTCCAGCAGTGCCACTTGTCAGTGTCCATCAGTGCCTTGTGTCAGTGCTCATCAGTGCCTCGTGCCAGTGCCCATCAGTGCCACAGCAATGCCACATATCAGTGCCTACCAGTGCACATCAATGCCACCTATCAGTGCCCATCTGAGCTGCCTTTCAGTGTCACCCATCAGTGCCAGTCAGCGCCACCTATCAATGCCAATCAGTGCCACCTTTCAGTGCCACCTATCAGTGCCACCTTTCAGTGCCACCTATCAGTGCCAGTCAGTGCCACCTATCAGTGCCAGTGCTGCCTAACAGTGCCATTCAGTGCCGCCTAACAGTGCCAGTCAGTGCCGCCTATCAGTGCCATGTATCAGTGCTGCCTTTCAGTGCCCATCAGTGATACCTGTCAATGCCCATCAGTGCCACCTACCAGTGTCTCCTCATCAGTGCCCATCAGTGCCACCTATCAGTGTCCATCAGTGCAGCCTATCAGTGCCCATCACTGCAGCCTCATTAGCGCACATCGGTGAAGGAGAAAAATCACTTATTTACAAACTTTTATAACAAAAACTAAGAAAAACTTTTTTTTTTTTTTTTCAAAATTTTCAGTGGTTTTTTTGGTTTGTTTAAGAAAAAATAATAAAACCCAGAGGTGATTAAATACCACCAAAATAAAGCTCTATCTGTCACAAAAAATTATAAAAATTTCATATGGGTACAGTGTTGCATGACCGCGCGATTGTCACTCAAAGAGCGACAGCGCTGAAAGCTGGAAATTTGCCTGGGCAGGAAGGGGGTATAAGTGCCCTGTAGGCTTGTGTTTAAAGGCTACAGCATCCTATAATGGTATGGTCATGTACAGTATAAGGGACACATCAAAGAAGTGATTCCAAACCCTGGACACCTTCCTGTTCAAAAGGGCAAAATTTTGACATCCTGCTGTAACAACATGCTCCAATCTCATAGAACAAGCAATTCAGCAGTCACTATAAGGGAATTGTCAAACTGTCCTCTGGAAGCATTTTAAAGACTTACACAGCTTTGCTTCTATTTCAAAGGCATTTCGCCAACTTTAAATAAGAAGGTATCAAAGCCCGGACAAAGGTTGTCCTCATCTTTTTGTTCAGAAGAGACTGAAAATGATTGATTGGCTTGAGAAGACTCTGAGACAAGTTTTAATGGCCCTGAAAGGAAAACTGAACATTGCCAGAATAGATGGCCCTTGCAGAAGGTAATTTCAGCAATTCCTTTCGAGTGTCTTAACCACATGCTTATATTAATTGTGACAACTTGGTCACCATATTATTCACTGTATGCTTGAACAAAGCAGGAATCATATAGTCATGAACATCCACATCTTCCTTGGAACAATCTGATGGGTTGATTTGCCTGAGACTTCTTGTTGGCAAATTATATTAACCCGGTCACAGGGTGAGTGGAAGCAACTCCTTTAGAATGTGCATGTTCAATGACTGTGAAATCCTTTTAGGTGTTGACAACTTTATCCCTGGCTGCTTGAACCATCAGAGTTAATACAGTTATACTCATCTGTATCTTTATTTTGGAAGAGTTGAAGAGGATTGTTTGCCGAGAAGGCTAGGAGACTGCTAAGAGACTGCTCCTTGATAGAATAGATAAACCTTTCACAGGGTGAGTGGAAACACGACTTCAGAGTGTATTCGCTTTATGTGACAACCTGTGAGGTGTCATCATCTTTATCCTTTGTTGCCTGAACTAAGCAGTATTCATGCAGCCATGTCCATCCACATTGTCCTTTTTGGAAACTCTGAAGAGAGCTGTTTCACCTAGAAAGGCTGGGTGGCTTCTCTAGCAGCTGCTGCAGGAGCCTGGAATGCATTGCCATGCAGGTCTCTTGCAGATCTGTCAGTATATTTGCTTGCCTGTATAGGATGTACGAGGAAGCAGATATACTTACAAGAAGATTCAATTAACTACCCCAGTGATGCACAGCACCGTTCATTGAGAACTACAAGCCGAAACCCGATAAGGCTGTTGAGACTTGGAGTTTTTCATTCACAGAGAAGTGATGTCGCTGGCTAGTGGGGGGGGGGGAAGAAAGATCCCCCACTAGCTGTCAAAGTGGGGGCCGGTGCATTCATAACATGTAACATCTTATGAAATGTGAACTTATTCTGCTAGGTATCATTGTCCTCATCTCTGGTTTCTTGAACAAAGCAAGATTCATACAGTCTTGCTCATCTGCATATTTCCATTTGGAGAATCTGAAGAGGCTGCTTTGCCTGAGAAGGCTATTAGACTGCTCATTGCCAGAACATGTCACCCTTTCACAGGCTCAGTGGAAACACTCCTTTGAGTGTATTGGCCACTTGTCTAATGAATGCGACAACCTGATAGGTGTCATCATCCTCATGTCTGGTTGCTTGAACAAAGCAAGATTCATACAGTCACATTCATACACATCTTCTCTTTTTTGAAGAGTCTGAAGTGGGCTGTTTTGCTTGGGAAAGCTCTGAGACTGCTCATTGCCAGAATAGAGAATCATTTCACAGAGTTTTGCCTGCCGCTTAACAAAGCAGCTAAAAAAAAAAAAAAAATATTCAGTGCAGTAGGAAATAGCTTGCTTGGTAATAAACTCTAAAGCAGTGGTTCTCAACCTTCCTAATGCCGTGACCCTTTAATACAGTTCCTCATGTTGTGGTGACCCCCAACCATAAAATTATTTACCCAGTAATTATAATTCATGAGTGTCATTTTACCTCCAATACTGCTGCTTTCCACACACAGTAGCTGCTTTTAACAGAGCAGCTGCTTTCAACACAGCAGCTGCTTTCTACACAGTAGCTGCTCTTTACACATTGGAAATATGTGTTTTCTGATGGTCTTAGGGGACCCCTGTGAAAGGGTCATTCGACCCCCAAAGGGGTCATGACCCACAGGTTGAGAACCACTGCTCTAAAGGGTTAACTACTGATAGAGGAAGGCTGATCCTGCAACTTCCAACTACAGCCCTGAGATCACCAGGTGGTTAATGATGAAAAAGTTGTGTTCAGAAGAGCAACAAAAGGTAGGAATCTGAAACAGAATTACAATAATATTCTGCAGTGTACACAAACTGTCCAAGGGAATAGGAACATCATAAAGATCTTCTCTTTTCTTTTTTTTGGGCTGAGAAACTGGAGAGCATATATAAAAGGATGTCCTATACACCAACAGACAATAGGCTACAGTAGGCATGCGCTTTTATTCATATCACAAGAAATGTACACATCTCTTGTGATAAAAAGAAGGGATGATAGGTCCTCTTTATGTAAACATTTGGGATCCATAAGACCCCATATCTCTCCTCTACCCTGGAAAGCATGAGATCAATTGAAAAAAACAATTAAATCTCATGCTTTACAAAAAAAGACAGTGTTTACATCTGCCTAGCAGGAAGTGACGTCATGGCATCACATCCGGTCATCCAGCTTTGTGATCACCGACAGCACTTCCGGATCAGATACCATGCTCCCCGATCGCACAGGAGAGAGCCCAAAGAAGCACCGATGGGCGGCAGGAGGGGACACTAATCAGTCACTAGGATTGCTTTTAGATGAAACAGCTTTCTAGCTGAGAAAAAAAAAATACCAGTGTTATGGCCTAAAGCTGCAGCTTTAACTACTTAAAGCCAATCATGTACATGTACGTAATTTGGTGCCAAGTGGTTATTGACCAAGTGTAAAGAAATGACTTCAAATAAAGAAGAACTATAAACACAACATAAAATTTCCTAGCTAAAATTTTCTAGCTAAATTTCCTAGCTAAACCTGAACCCCAAATGCTTCAATAAGCATTTTATAATATGTAGTGATATTTCTTGTTTTATCTTGGTTGTTATTTTTTATCCTAAAGCCAGTATCCGAAAGCCATGCTCTAAGAGGCCATGTTAAGAACCTATTATTTGAAATGAAACGAACAAGAGTATAGTATGACCAACACAGGAAGCTTTGAATCATGGGTGCTCAATTACCCCTTTGGGAAGAACGGAGGCCACTTAAGTACAGATTTGGTAACCAGGCCACAAATAAAAATGAAATGGTTCAGAAATTCTAATCATGGGTGCTTTTAAGAACGGAGGCCACTTTTTTGAATAGCATTTCTAACTTTTTATTTTGAATAGAACATTTTCCACTTGCAAGTGCTGAATTCCAGCAGGAGGCAGAGGAGGAGAAGTTGGTTTTCAGTGGTTGCAGGAGAAAAATAGAAAGGATCGGTTCCTTTATAGGTAGCCCTGCCGTCCTTCTTGCCCAAAAGTAAAACACAATGTGACAAGGAGGCCAGCACAGGCCCCCTACAGCATGGGTTGAGGTCGCCATTGTGACCCCTGATGCTACACCAGTGGTTTGGGGGGGTTTAAAACACAGCTCAACTATTGGGTTTTACTGCCCCCAAACCACAAATACAGGTGCAGTACAATGAACCTGCAGCTTTCCTTTCCTCCTCAAAACTCCTGCATTCAGTTTGAGGTGGAGATCCACATCAGAGGGCCCATGGGCCAGAAGTTGAGCACCCCTGCTTTAATATATTCCCCGAGTTTTTATTCTAAGAAAGAGAATAAACTCAAGTGTGTGCTTCATTTATATGTGTTTTGTGAACAAAACTTGGACTACAGAATGATGCATACATTATATCATACACTGTATGATACGTGCCCAATTGTTGCACTAGAATATGTTTTGGATCCCATTTGTATGTTCTACACAGTCTATGTGATTTTCTGTCTTAACAGAAACACCCTTACAGCTTTAGGGCTTACCAAACAAATTTGGGCCAATTATTTTTCAACATAACATTTTGCTAGCTTACTCTGGAGGCATTATTGTTGCACTCATTACAAAAGTTTATCCATACACAGAGTATTGTAAACTGAAATTATTTACTGTGCTATAACAATATCCCAAAGTCATAAAACAAAGTATAAATACCAGAAGGTAAAGAGGGAATTCAACAATTTGAGAAGCAATCAAAGCTCAACACCATCAAGCAACTGAAACCCAATAAAAAATGAAGGTTATACATGCTAGTGTCTTCCTCCTTTTATTATTCATGCTTCCAGTCAGTAAGTATTTCTTTTTTAAAAGCATATATTTTTAGCATTTTATATATTCAGCTTTGAGTTAAATTCTTTTCATATTTTTGACCCACAGCTAGAATGTATTGATTAAAATCAGAACCTCGGCTCAGGGTTTCAGGACAGTGGTTTCATTGGACCAGCCTATTGGCCCACCATCCTACTTTCTGGGATCATGGGATAAATACAGATTTTTTTAAACCCCTTCCCCCAAATGGATAAACCCGTATGTCCTCTGGTTGAAGCGAGTATATTGAGACCAT